AACCCTGAGCCGGTGAGATTTGAACAGCCGAACTGCAGTCAGCTGAAGTAGCCTGCAGTGCTGCATTTAACCACTGCGCCACCTCGGCTCTTGACTTACAACCATTTATTTAGCACTTGTCTGACATGACGACGGCATGGAAATAAGTGAATGATGACCGGGGCGGCATCCCTAGAGATACATGATCAAAATATGGGTACTGGGCAATCAGCAGGTACTTACAATGGTTGTGGCATCCTGGGGTCATGTGATTGCCATCTGTAGCTATAGTAGCAGCAGATAGACTTATATACCACTTTACAGTGCTTTACAGCCCTCTCTAAGCAGTTTACACAATCAGCCTCTTAACCCCAACAATCTGGGTCCTCATTTTACCGACCTCAGAAGGATGGAAGGCTGAGTCAACCTTGAGTCTGGTGAGATTCGAACTGCCAAATTGCAGGCAGTTGGCAGTCAGCAGAAGCCGCCTTCAGCACTGCACTCTAACCACTGCGCCACTGGGGCTCATTCTCTGTAACTTTCTCAGATGGCTTCTGACCAGTCAACAAGGAAAGTGGGATTGGCTTAACCATCGTGTCATTCAACTGCAATGGTCGCAAAATTTGGTGCAACTCATTTAGGACCTGCTTTGCTTAGCAATGGAAATTCTCGTCCCAATTGTGGTTGTAAGTCGAGGACTACCTGTAGCTTTAGGCTGAGTAGGTGCGACGCCTGAACAGAAGAGCCAGCACAGATTGTGCTCATATGTGCTCCAAAACGGGTGTCAGTCATCGCATAGAGAATTGGGAGAGAAAATTGTTCTTGGAAACTCCTCACCTTTGATTTCACCAGTTTGGCAATGTTCTCCTTCAGAGTTCCTTCGATGGCTGTTAGCTTATTTGCAATAGTGTTACTCAGCTGTCCAGTGATGGGATCCAAGCTCTTAGATACACCTGGTAAACAAAAAGAGGAGAGCGGATCCTTTATTTTGGGAATAACCAGATAGGAAAGGCTGGTGATGAACCCTCTCTGAAAAAGTGAGGGAAGTTCAGATATTGGACAGCACTTTCCTACATCCTTCATCTTTTTCTGATTAGCTACAATTCACTGCAGTTTAACAATATCTGTTGTCCATCAGAGCTATGAACTGTAAGCATTCATGTTCTTTTTCTCTTGGAGGGAAGGAAGGAAGGAAGAGACAGAGAGCAAGAAAGAAAGGGAGAGAAAGAGAAAGGGAAGGAGAGAGAAAGAGAAAGGAAGGAAGAGAGATAAAGAGGAAGGGGAAGAGAGGGAGAGAAAGAGAAAGGAAGGGAGAGAAAAAGAGAAAGGAAGGGAGAGTGAGAAAGAGAAAGAAAGGAAAGAAGGGAGAGGGGGGGAGGAAGGAAGGGCTAATGGGTGCTATCAAGGAGAATGAGAAATGCTTCTCATGGGAAGTCCCTGGAATCAAGATCATGCCCTCCAACTAGCCTCCATCTTTTTTCCCGGAGGGTCTAACTCTGCATCCAGAGCCTTGAGAGAAATTAGCCTAAGGGTGACAGGACTTCCATTTCAACTTGTTCTCCCTGCAGGATGCTTTGCAAGCAACTCATCATCCCCTGTGCAAGAACTTACACGGGGGAACTGTCTTTTTCATCTCCTCGCGGATGGTCCTCTCCAACCGATTGCAGGCAGCCGTAGAGAGGGACTGGGAGAGCTGCTGGGACAGGTGCTCTTGCAGCTGCCCACTGCGCTGCTGTCCTTCGGCCAGAGCCTGGTCCAACCTCCGCTCTGAAACAATGAGTTAAGGAACATGGAAAAGAAAAGGGGTGCACAGACTAGAGATCCCAAAGATAGCACTAGCTGAAGCACTTAAGACTTATATACCGCTTCATAATGCTCTACAGCCCTCTCTAAGCGGTTTACAGTCAGCCTATTGCCCCCAACAATCTGGGTCCTCGTTTTACTGACCTCGGAAGGATGGAAGGCTGCGTCAACCTTAAGCCGGACAGGATCGAACTGGATCAAATTAGCCTGCAGTGCTACATTCTAACCACCGGGCCACAACGGCTCTCGATTAGTCTCAATGGCAAGACTCCAGATATACCACTTAGCCAGTTTGATGTAATGGTTAAGACATCAGCCTATAAACCAGGTTATGGTAAGTTCTAGTCCCACCTGAGGCACAATGCCGACTGGGTGATCCTAGGAAGCAGGCAATGGCAAACCACGTCTGAAAAACCTTGCCAATAAGACTTCAGGGATTTGTCCAGGCAGTCTCTAAGAATCAGGGGGGGAAATGGCTTGACAGATCTATATTTGGCTTAAGGTTCTCAGACACACTATAAGCATGGCTAGCTAATAATTTTTTACAACATACTACAATTTCCCTGAAAATAAGACCTCCCTGGATAATAAGCCCAAGCGGGCCTTTGAGCGCATGCGCTATAATAAGCCCTCCCCCAAAATATTGCGACACAGCAGCAACCATGAGGTGACCACGCTTCGCTGCCTCCTGCATTATCCTCAAAAATAATAAGACCTCCCTGGATAATAAGCCCAAGCGGGCCTTTGAGCGCATGCGCTATAATAAGCCC